GCCTCCGGCTGACCCGGCCGCACCAGCGACTCCTGCCCATGCCTGTGGGACACTGCCCACCACTGCAGTCAGCCGCTGTGCCCAACTGCTCTCCTCCCCCGGAGACTGCCATGGGGCACGACGGAAGCGAAGTAAAACAGGCTGGCAGCGGGTGGACACACAAACCGAGCTCCATCCACACAACAGAACACCACTCGGCAACGAAAACTAACGGACACACACGAGGACGGACCTCGAGACGACTGTGCTGAGCGAATTCAAAATGTCAGGCTGAAAAAAGAGGCTACGCCACCAGTCCACTTACACAGAACTCTAGGAAATGCCAACCAAGCCATCCTGCCAGGCCGGGGCCTGCCGAGGGGTGAGGGGCGAGGCCCGGAACCCAAGGGGATGAGCACACTCTGCAGGTGCTGGAGGCTGTTTTTCAACGTCTTAATTGGATGTATACAAATATCGAAATGAATCAAATTGTATGCTTTACATAAGTATGTTAAATATATATACATTTATTAGTAAAATGACATTAAAAAATTAGCATGATTTGGTGACCGTGACTTCTCCAGGAGCCACACACGCACGGAGAGTTCTAAACCAGGACTGCAATCACGGGTCTCCACGTGGACTGTAGACTGGAGGTCAGGGACAAAGCCAGGCTATCTCAGGCCCCAGGGACAGCCACATGGCCAGTGCTCACTCGGTCCCCTGCGTTCCCCAGCAAGGCCAATGGCGCGTCGCTGACTTGTCACGATTCCTGAAGAGGTGCAGGGTTGCCCCAAATGACCCATGAGGAAGCGGGGCTCAGACAGGCTCCGTGAGGTGTCCTGGGCCGGGTCACACTCACGCTCAGCCACAGCCACGCTCCTCACACAGCGCCTCCTGCAGAACCAGCTCAGACCGAGGAGCGCCGTGGCTTTGGGGAGATTGTTTTGCTGACTAAACACTGGGGCAAATACCTCCACACAATCCCAGGAACAGCAAGCACCAGGCAAAACCATGAGCACCAAGAAAAGCTCCCCATCACCTAGACTTCTGATTGGCTAAGCTGCCAAGCAGACATAACATGGTTCAATGCCCCCCTACATCTCTGGCTAGTTCCTCGAAGAGCAGTCCATTCGGTGCCACCTGGTCCTCTGGGCCACCACCAAGCCCAAGCGCCGTGGGCATGTACGAGGCACCACGTTTAAGCCGAACATAAACTGGTAAGCTAAAGCCAGAGCAGAAAGCATCCCAGAATGCCCAAGAGAGTGATTCAACTTGCTATTTCGAGAAAACTTCAAGTCTCTGCCCAAACGGTGTCAAGGCCAGACCCCGCCGCCGTCAAACGTACCAGAACGGCTGCTCTTCTCCGGCCTTGGACAGAAAAGGCACGCACAGGGAGGATCAAATTCGCTATCTTTAAAGCGCACCCAGGTTCTCGCCAACGGCCCAACTGTCTTCCGCCTTGAACCCTAAGGGTCCTGGACCCTGTGCGGTTCACAGCGTCGCCCTACACACACGAAACGCGTTAGAAATTACGGCAGATGGGAGCAGAACAGTGACACGCGGCAGCCGGGGGGAAAACTAACAATTAACGCAGGCCACGCGGCACTCGAAAACGTCTGCGGCCGCCCTAATAAAACGGGGCGCATCTGACTGAATCCAGGGTGCGCCAGGGTCACTCGACACGCGGCCG